ATGCTACCAAGTGAGGCATCAGGCCTAGAAGAGGGAGCTACTCTGCCACCTCAGTATAATGAAAGAACAGATGTGGCTTCTCCCTCCAATGCTTGACAGGGTACATGATTTAGCAAGGAAGTACCATGGCAGGAGCGAGGGAATTCCCATTTACAAGGATGGCCAAGGGTGGCTCGGATGCGAGTGGGCAACCTGTCAGATATTACTGGATGTCCAGCCCATTTTCAACATCTAACTTGTGATATGGAAAAACTGCACCCTACCTTAAGGGAGGATCCCCAGAAGATGACTGATCTCTGTGTGTCTATCTGTGCTGCCACCAGTGTACTTGAGCAGATGTGCACTCTCTCCTAAACATGCTTCAGATTGCAGATGAAAGAAGATCAAGAGTCTTGGTGCCTCCATGAAAACAAATCCAAATGCCCCAAACCTGAAGGGACTACTCTGGATGCAAACCCTAATTGGGGCTCTAATTGATAAGGGGACATGGCCCATTCAGAATATTCGCAAACCAATCATCATTACTGGACTCAGGAGGGGAGTACCAAAATGAAGGGGTTTAAAAACAGTTCACACAGTCATGCAAAATTCAAATGTGAACCAATTTGAATTGTTGAAATGTATTTACCAAGGCTCTGTAGATATACTCACAGAGAAAGGGAGGATATTAAAATTCAAGGCTAATATATATGACTTTCATTTAGTAAAACATCCTTTACATAAAGAGAAGTGTAGAAAAACAGGAAGACTCACCAGGAATGACCTCTTCCCAGCTTGACAGATAAAGAAACAGAAGTTGCAACCATAAATGTAGAATGAACAAGGAAGCCTCTGGACCACACCCAGTGTGCCTACCGTAAGGAGAGAAAACACCAAAAGGATGACTGACCCAAAAGAAAGGAACAAGGGGCCAGAAAAAAAGGATCTGACAGGGAAAAAGCCCACAGACAAATGGTAGAGCAGGGTCATTGATCTGACAGGGATGCCTGGGGGCTATCCATAGTCCCTCAGAGACAATTAAAATTTCCCCACAGGAACCCTGGGTACAAGTGACAGGAAAAAATTAATTGATTTCCTGGTTGATACTGGGAAAACTATTCAGTTTTTAACACCTCAGGAGAAAATGCGCCAAAATGATTGTACCTGTGACAGGACTTGAAAAAAAAAAAAAAAGCAACAAAAGACTTTCCTACAACCTTCAGAATGCAAACTAGAAAGTTTGGACCTAAGGCACTGCTATTTCTATAAGCCAGAATGGCCAATTCCCTTGCTAGGAGAATACCTATTACACAAATTAAATACTCAAGTAATTTCTCCCCAGAGATACAACTCCACCTGCAGGTCCTGCTAGAGCAAGCATTGCAACATAGATGTTATTCATTTGCCTTAAGAAGAAAAAATTCTCCCTCAGAAGTCTGTGAGAGAGTGGGTAATTGTGAATGGGCAGATGGAATCCCAGAAAAAGCAGTACACAGCCAGAACATATAGAAAAAGGAGAAGGAGCTACTGTGCCCCAGGTGGGGTGGTGAATGAAAAGCAATCAGTATACATTAATAAAGCTTTAGAAAGAATACAGCCTGTCTTGGAAAAACTTGAGAAGTGGACAGATTCATCCTTGCAGATCCCCATGTAATAGCCCTATTGTGCCTGTAAGGAAGGTACACTTCGACAAATATCAATTTGCCCACGACCTGAGAGCCATTAATAAAATAGCCTTGGATATTCACCCAATGGTTCCTAACCCATATACTCTGCTGACTGCTATATATAGAAATTATTAATGCTTTTCAGTGCTAGATCTAAAAGATGCTTTTTTCCTGCATTCCAATTGAAGGAAAGACCCAGCAATTATTATTACTATTTTTTTTGAATGGCAGGACCCAGAGACCAAAACAACCTTTTAATAATGTTGGACGGTGGGGCCTCAATGTGTTAAAAAATGCACCAACAATTTTGGGGAAATACTGGCAAAAGACTTAGGAGACCTACAACTAGATTAAGGAGTCTGGCTACCACATGTAGATAATTAATAGCCAGCCACAACTATAGGAAATGCCTAGCTGACATCATCTTAGTTCTAAATCACCTGGTACAATATAGATACAAAGTATTCCCAAGACGGCCCAAATAAGTAAGTAGAAAGCAACCTGTCTTGGCTTTGGTTAAAGCAAGGCCAAAGGAGCCTGATGTCTGTCCAACAACAGGCAATAGCAGCCATAGAGCCCCAGATAATGAGGGCAACTGCGGGGGTTCTTAGGAAGGGTTGGCTTCTGCCAGATGTGGATTCCTAAGTTTGGACTAATGACTAAAACCCTTTACGAATCCCTAAAGGGAATAGACTCACTGCCCCTTCTTTGGACATCTAAAGGCCAACAAGTATTTTATACCATCAGAGAAAAGCTGATATCAGCTCTGGCACTGGGGTTACCAGATTCCCAAATACTGTTCAAATTCTATATCAAAAAAAACAAAAACAAAAAAAAAACATAGGTCCGGGTGTGCTAACCCAAATGCTGGGAGATGCCCCACAATCCATGGCCTATTTCTGTAACAATTAAGCCAAAGATTAAGGGCTGACCCCCCCCCACTTCCTCTGGGCGACAGCGCCCACTGTGAAGTCCTACAGGAAGTAGAAAATTTTCCTCTGGGACAGCCAGTTACTGTGTTTGTGCCCCATCAGGTGCTGACTCCACTAGAACAAAATGGAGGCTACTGGCTCACTGGGGGGTGAATGGGCAGTTACCAGGCCATCCTCTTACACGATCCAAATGTCACCCTACAAACCACCATGGCTCTAAACTCTGCCACACTGCTCTCAGCTGAAAAATAATCCTGGGTTAAAGCATGACTGTAAATCCTTGATGTATCTGATTCAAAATGCTGGATCTGTCAAACCAGACAATGAGTGCTCTGTCTTGAACTATACTGATGGGAGCAGCTTAATGAAAGATGTGCACAGAGCCAGATGTGCCGTGGTGACTACCAAAATGGGATAATAGAAGCCCATGCCCTTCCTGCAGCTACCTTTGCTCAAAGAGCTGAGTTAATTGCTCTTACGTGTCTTTAGAATTGTCCCAGGAAAAGGGAGTAAACATTTATTCTCATTCCATATATGCCTTCCTGGTAATGCACACCTGTTGGGTGTTCTGGAAACAGAGAGGCCACTTGCAATTAGAAAATGTGGACATTAAACAGCCAAAATAAATTCTGGCCCTAGTAGAGGCAATTGCCTTGTCTCTCTTTCTTGTTACCCTCTATCTTAAAATGGGAATAAAATGTGCAATAAACTCTGTGTGAATGGTGAGCGCATGTGTGAGTGAATGGGAGTTTCAAGGGCCTGCCCTTGAAATTCCAATTTGTAGCTCCACGGCAAAAGCTACGGAGTTCGAGAGGACTCTCTTCCTGCGTTTCCGTGGATAACTCAAAAGGCTGATTGCCTTGCCTGATCAGGCCTCCATCACGCACTGCCCCAACACCAGAGAGATAATTCACAAACAACCAAAGGTAACCAGGCAGCTGGCAAAGCAGCAAAATGAGCTGCTTGGGAGGCACAGATGCTGGGGCATGAATACTTCATTTGGAATTACTAGATTTTAAACCTCATTTACACTCAACAAGATGCAAAACATGCCTGAGCCAGGAATTTGAGAAAAGAGATTCCAATTCCCCCTGGAAAACTGACGCTTAACAGGATGATGATACTCCCTCAAGGCCTTGGTTCATCCAATCTCAAAACATCTACATGAAGGAACGCACTTATGGGAGAAATGCCCTCGCCAACCTAGTGCAACCACATCTCAGTAGCCCACACTTCCAGAATATCACTTGGAAAATTACACAAGGATGCATTCTCTGCACTAAAACAATCCCAAGACAGAATGCAGCCCTCCTAACAAGGCGATATAGTATAAAGGGCGGACTCCCTTCAAAGACTGAAAGGTAGGCTTCACTCAGATGCCTACCTGGTTATATAAGCCAAGGAAATATATGAAGTTATTAATAAGAAAGAAGGAAAGATAAGCGATATGCTTTTGTTAACATGAACTACTCAATTCTAGAGTAATAAGCACATACTTGATCTTTGCTGAAACTACCTGAATGGGTGTAGACAGTCACTTTTCTCTAAAACAAAACAGACTACTGGGTCTGTGGGGGAGGTACCCCTTTCTCCACTGCTGACTTGTCACTGCACATCCAAGCTATTACCTCAAGCACTTGGAGTTATTTTTACACATAGGACAAGAGTAAAAATTCTCACTCATTTCCCATCTATGATTACAGTACCACTCACCGTGAGTGCTCCACTTTTGGGGAAAGTTAGAAATATATCTTCCATCTGGCTCGTAAGCAGATTAATGTCACCCCCTCTACAGGCTATGCTGTATATGACAACTTAGGATGGCTGATGATGGTGCAAATCCAGGCAAGGGGTCATGTACATCTATGCATCCAAAAACATAAGAGCAACACACCCCACACTAGCAGCCTGGCTAAGGAAAGGTTACCTCTTAGCAATGTGGCCAAACTCATCAACTGACTAGTAAAATGTGGCTAGGATGGCAAAATAGCATCAAGCTACATGGTACAGCCTCTCCTTTCTCCTGGAGTTAGCTATGGGTCTGGGGCAGTCATAACTGGTCTTACTTACCTTACAACTGGACTGGGAGATACACCCGGGGGTGCCCTTACCTACCAGGATACATCCTGTGCCATCGGGACTCTCTCCCTGACAACGGGGAAAAGATGAAAGCCAGACGACACCATCAAAAATGGGCACCCTGGTGGTTCTACTCACTATCTGTCTTTTCCTCCCAGACAGCAAATATAGATGTAGAATTATAAGTAAAGACCCTAAGAGTAGAACTGTTGCTTGTAATAGCCCCCAACACAACATTACCCTTCTCACTGAAAAACTCACAGATAAGTGGCCCTACAGAAGCCTATGAACTTAGATATCCTAAATGCAGCCCAGTGTGACACTTGTGCATTAAGACTGAATGGTGCTCGCTCACTTCAGCAGCACATATACTAAAATTGGAACGATACCCAGAATATTAGCATGGCCCCTGCAAAAGGATAAAGCAAATTCATGAAGCGTTCCATATTTTTAAAAAGAAACGAACAAAGTCTCCAAGAAAGATGGGACTATGTGAAAAGACCTAATTTACATTTGACAGGTGTACTTGAATGTGACAGAGAGAATGAATCCAAGCTGGAAAATACTCTTCAGTATATTATCCAGGAAAACTTCCGCAACATAGCAAGGCAGGTCAATATTCAAGTCCAGGAAATACAGAGAACACCACAAAGATATTCCTCGAGAAGAACAACCCCAAGGCACATAATCGTCAGATTCACCAGGGTTGAAATGAAGGAGAAAATGCTGAGGGCAGCCAGAGAGAAAGGTCGGGTTACCCACAAAGGGAAGCCCATCAGACTCACAGCAGATCTCTCAGCAGAAACCCTATAAGCCAGAAGAGAGTGGGGGCCAATATTCAACGCCCTTAAAGAAAAGAACTTTCAACTCAGAATTTCATATCCAGCCAAACTAAGCTTCATAAGCGAAGGAGAAATAAAATCCTTTATGAACAAGAAATTGCTCAGAGATTTCGTCACCATCAGGCCTTATTTTGCTTTGCTGTGTGGAATATATTGCAGGTGTACTCTTTGTGTAGGAATGCAAGATAAGCTTACTCAAAGATTTCTTATATTGGACACTTATTTATATTCCAGGTTTCACTTTTTGTCTGGACTCAGAGTTACAAATGACCATCACCATAAGGACGCTTTCTGACTGAGTTCTGCTCTACTCTGAATAGGGTAGAGATCCTAATACTTAGTAATATAATCACCCCTGATAATCATGAAGAAGTTACAGAAGATGGATCTTCGTTCCTCTGCAGCGGTTAGGATTAACGGTTCTCTTGTAAAAGGGAGGATGAAACACGTCAGAGACATTTGAACCAGAGTGACTTCCTCTTTAATAAGGGATGGGAAAAATGAGGCTGGGACTTGCTGGGCTGCATTCCCAGCAGATTGGGCATTTTTGCTTCAAATTTTTTATGGTTAAGGGAACTGACTAATAATGTTTACTGAACAGACCTAGGACTTAACAGACCCAGGAATGTCCTGATATCTTGATATAATGAGAACAAAAGCATTCTACTTTTAGAATAAGTTTTGCTTTAAAGATAATATCAAATCTTACAAAATATAATAATTATGAAAATTAATCCTTTATCATAAGCCCTTGTAGTAGAAGACATCTCAGTTTTTTTTTTTTTTTTTTTGAGGTAGAGTCTCTGTCACTCAGGCTCGTGTGCATGGAGTGCAGTGGTGCAAACTCAACTCACTGCAATCTCTGCCTCCCAGCTAATTTTAATATATTTTTCAGTAGAGATGGAGTTTTGCCATGGTGGTCAGGCTGGTCTCAAACTCCTGGCCTAAAGTTATCTGTCCACCTTGGCCTCCAAAGTGCTAGGATTACTGCATGAGCCACCACACATGACCCTCCTCATGATTTTCTTTATTTTATATATCAACAAGTATTGTACCTAGGATGAGCCAGTTTCTCTTTTTACTACCAAGGAACACCACACTCTGTCTATAAGACAGCTATTTTTTCACTCTTTTACTTTCTTAATAAACTTGCTCTCACATTGCACTGTGGACTTGGCCCAAATTCTTTCTTGTGTGAGATTCAAGAACCCTCTCTTGGGGTCTGGATCTGGACCCCTTTCTAGTAACACTAATATCTAATTATGTGTTTTCTTAGAAGTTCCAGGAGTTAATCATGAGACAGAAAGACCAAGCCCAGTGACCCAGCACATAATTCCAGAAACTATGTCAAGGTAGCTAGTCAATCTGATCATTGTTAATATGATGCCAGCCAGTGCTCCAGGGAGACTGAGACCAAAGCAAGACACACAGACCTTGTATTTGACAAAACTCCTGCATGCCTCCACACCAAGCCCCCCCTTTTTAAATCCTTGCCTTCTCCCAAGAAATTCGACATGCTCATTTTGGATTGGAAATCTGGCCACTTGCCTGTTACTAGTTTTTGTTTGTAAAGTCACTTTCTTTTTACCAGATCTCACTCTTGCTGGTTGAACTCTATAAGTAGCAAGCAACTAGACTTGTGTTGGCTTACAACCTGCAGTCCATGTAGAAAATAGTGTGGGCTCTGGGGGCCTGAGTCTGTCAGTCTGGTTTCTATGAGGTAGAGCATAGTGTCACCTGTTAGTTAGAGCTGCTCATGGCTACCTGATTTATTGGCTAGAATGTTAGGGAGTCTCCCTGCAGCTGCTAAGATGTTGAGTCTTGGGGGAGTCTCTCTTTCTCTTCCTGCTGTGGTAAATTTTGCCTTGAATGCTTCACTGATGCAAAGAAAGTTACCTTTAGAGAAGCCAGAAAACATTCACACTTTGAAACTGAGTGAGAGAATCTGATTGCACCTGAATACTCTCTGTCTCTTTGGGGGTGTCATGGAGCTTTGCTCTACTTGGTTTTGAGTGCTAGTGACAACATTCAAAAATTTTATGCATTTCTTTTGTATTTGTGAAATCCCTGGGGCTTTGCTCAGTTCAGACTTAGTCCCCTTGGTGGGGGACATTTAAAACTAAGCGATTTGGGACTCTACCCAGCCCCTCAACTGGGGAAATGTTTAGGGAATGTGTCGTTTGTTGGTATGTGCAAATGTGCAACCTTTGTATGTGGGTCCTGGTTTCTTTGTGTCTCTCTTTCTCCTTCCTCCAACTTCATCCTCCTGATTGTCTCAGGAGCCAGCATAGCCTTTGTCCTCTTAGCCAAAAGCATGCAAAAAAGTGCCTGTAAACAGTTCATTTTGACAGGTGACTTGTGGAGGTGGGAAGGATTTGTCCCAAACTGTGAAGGTCTGGGGTGCTGAAACTCTCCCTGACAAAAAATGAATTAGAGGACGGAGTATACCCACTCTGCACCATGCAGTGGCTGGAAGGCTCATAAGCCACCCTTTCTTATTTCTTCTTTCCTCTTTCCTTCTGTGAAATCTGGCTCCATTTCTACCCTCCATTCTTTTCTCTTTTTTCTTTTTTTAAAAAATTTTCCAGGGATCCACCTCTGAAGGGGAAAAACAGTTTCCAACATCCTGGCCCCTAATTTGGTCATCTTCACTGGGACCTAAACTGGTTACATATTATGGCAAATTTGTGTGCACATTTTAAACTGATGGGCAAATTACATTAAAAAAATTAGAGCTTAAGAAGTTAACTGACAAGAATACAGTTAAGTAGAGTCTTCTAATGCTCTCTATGTTCCTTACTTTTTCCTTCTGTATGCTTTAAATTTTCTGTTATTAAGCTGTTGGTGCTAAGATCAAACTCATTATTTACAGTCTAACCAGAATGTAAACACTGAGAATTCATTTGAAGTTAAAGAAAAGAAAGGGTAAAATAAGTTTTTAAATCAAAGTGCTATTAGACTGCTTTACCCTAATTTTGGTTCACAGCTTTCCTTGAATTACCATTAGGGCAGACAAAATTTAGCCATGAGAACAAGTTTTATTTTGTCAAAAAAACACCAAAACTTGGATCCAGCTGCTTTTTTTTTAGGTCAGTGAGTTTGTGATTTTGTCTCACAACTAGAGGTCGGAGGCAAAAGCTATGGGACCTCTGTGTATATATGTATAGGCTTTTAGATATTTGTATGCAATACACAAGTATCATGTTCTGTTTTGTGTCTAACATGCTACCAAACTGGCTTATAAGTAAATGAGCAGTAGTAAATAAAGTGCAAATGTTTTCTGAGTTCACATGAATCTTTGGTAACTAAAGCTAGTTTAAAAATTATTTGTAAAAAAACACATTTGTATCTGGGTCAATTTTATATTTCTCTCCACTAAATGTTGAAGGTGTTGAGAGTTTGGCAAACAAGTTGTAAGACTATAAACTCAGCCAAAAATAGAGTAATCTTTGTGAAATTTTTTGACAAATAAGACTAATTTAAGATTGTTGGTTCAATAAAACAGCTAACTCTTCTGAATTATTGACAAAATACATTTTACTTTAAGATTCTTACTTAGGTGTTCACCTAATGTTGAGACATTAAAAATCATGAACAAAAATACCTTTAAATAACTAGCTTTGTATAATATCTGTTTTCAAAAATACTATACATAAAGCATTAAAACTTAGAATTAAGTACACGTATATGAAATAAATGCCTCTAAGTATACTTTTTGTATAATTTAAAATATTTAAATTACTTTAATCAATGTTCTTGGAATGTCTGGGTCATTGTCAATTTAAAAAAATATTATGATATAAGAAGACATGTTTCTAAAACTGTTAAATGGTTTTGTCTATATAATGCCAACAGCAGACAAACAGTTTAATGTTTTCTTGCTTCCTATGGTTGCATGAAACTTAAAGTTACCATGAATGGAAATTCTAATCAACGTACAATTCTGTAAATTTTATTCTTATAACAAAAACAATTTTATGTAATTTTGGAGGTTATTTTGAAGTCATTTATAAAAAAAGGCAAACAACGAAAACAGTGAGTCAGGGAAAGTGATGTGAACAAACTTACAGATATGAAGATGTATTTTTGGTAAGAAATGTTACAAAGAAAAAATTAATTTTATATAATAAAAAATATGGTAGTATTTCTTCCTAAAGTACAATAACTGATTTTTTAGATTAGGGAGAAATTTAGGACGAGTCAGAAAGATCAAGAGTATCATAGATGGTCTATGAATGTAAGTCTTGATAAGGTGTTTTTTTTTTTGTTTTTTTTTTTTAAAGGAGAATTTAAAAGTTATAGGGCTTTAACTCCTGGGTACACGTATTTAAAAAGGCACTGACTACTGCAAATATCTAACACTAAAATGAATTTTGTATGTGATTAAGTTAGTGATAATCAAGAGAGCTGTTTATAATAGTCTAAGAATGATCCCCTCTGTTGCTGGGCGTGGTGGCTCACGCCTGTAATCCCAGCACTTTGGGAGGCCGAGGCGGGTGGATCACGAGGTCAAGAGATCGAGACCATCCTGGTCAACATGGTGAAACCCCGTCTCTACTAAAAATACAAAAAATCAGCTGGGCATGGTGGCGCATGCCTGTAATCCCAGC